AGACTATGTTTGGTAGACAAATAAGCTAGCTTATAGCTTATTTGGTTAGCTTATAAGCTCCATGTATTCAAATAAGACTCGTTTGATAGGACGAACTTTTTTAAAAAGCTCGACCTTATTTGATAAGCTTCTTTAGGTAGCTTTTCAAATAAACTAGTTGAGTTTTTTTATTCCAGCTAGCTTATAAGCTAATTTTACTAAACACTTTTATTATATAAGCTAGCTTTTCAGCTATAACTCATAAGCTTCAAGCTAAAAAATTACTTATAAGCTATAAGCTAGCTTATTAGCTAGTTTTAGCTTATCAGCTAGTTTCACCAAACATAGCCTAATTATTCATCTATTTTTTCATCAATTAGTCCATCAAAATATCAGATAAAGAAATTATTTTAGCATTAACTCTTATCATATATTTTTTAACTCAACATCCGTGTAGTGCACGAATATTGTGTTGGGAAATAAGGTCGGATAAGATGGAATAATAATAACACACCAATGTGAAATCGATAAAAGACATGAAAGTTTGTTAACCCAGTTCGGATTAAATCCTACGTCTGGGGGCGAACCAAGCCAGGAGAATGAACTAGAAGAAGAGTATAAACCGAATGTTACAACTCACACAAGCTCGTATGAATACACTCTCTCTACTCTTTTTCTCTCTTTATCTCTCTTGTTATGTTTTCTTTTGTTGTGATTTGGTTCATCACAATCCCTCTATTTATAGAAGAAGAGTACACATACTTTTTTTTCCATATTTGTGTACTACTAATGTGAACAAAGAAGAGTTGTTGGCAATATTTGTCAAATGGTATGGGCTCAGCTACCCATTTTTACCTAACAATCTCCCACTTGAGGACTGATTTCAATCTGTCCTCACACCACATCAATCAACATGTTCATCTCTGCTCCTGGTTCTGCCGGGTCTGTCTGTTTTAATCATCAAGGCCGGTCGAAGCTACACACAGCTTCAACTTTTCCAAAGTTACCGCCTTGGTCAACATGTCTGCAAGATTCCTATCTCCTCGAACCTTTATCAGTTGCAGCATCCTTCTCTAGAAGTTGCCGGATGAAATGATACTTAACCTCGATGTGCTTTGTTCGCGAGTGAAACGCGGGGTTCTTTGCCAGATGGATTGCACTCTGGCTATCGCTGTATAGAGCCACATCCTCTTGAGGTCTCCCAAGTTCATTCAGGAAGTTTTGCAGCCAAACGAGCTCCTTGGCTGCCTCCGTCACTGCTACGTACTCAGCTTCCGTTGAGGACAATGTGACTATCTTCTGCAGCTTTGAGATCCAGGATACGGCCATCCCGCCGTAAGTGAACGCGTACCCAGTAGTACTCCTCCTCTTGTCAAGATCACTTCCTGCAAAATCAGCATCGACAAACCCAGACAGGGTAAGGGTACTCCTGCCAAATACCAATGCCCGGTCCTTAGTACCCCTCAGGTACCTAAGGATCCACTTTACCGCCTCCCAGTGCATCACTTTAGGATTGCTCATGAACCGACTGACTACTCCCACTGCATGTGCTATGTCTGGCCGGGTGCAGACCATAGCGTACATTAGGCTCCCGATGGCCGAAGCATACGACGTAACTCTCATCTTTTCTTTTTCAGAGTCATCTTGGGGCGAATCCTTGTTGGACAACTTGAACTGGCTTCCCAATGGCACTCGAACCGACTTTGCAATATTCATATTGAATCTGCACAACACCTTCTCAATATAATCAGATTGAGAAAGCCAAAGTTTACCAGCATTTCATGTCCCTCGTGATTTTCATGCCCAGTATCTGTCTCGCTTCTCCTAGATCCTTCATATCAAATCTCCTTGATAGCTGATCTTTGAGCCTCTCGATCTCCTTGACATCTGATCCTGCTATCAGCATGTCATCCACATATAGCAGTAAAGTAATGAAAGGGTTACCGAACTTCTTCACATAGCAACAATGATCAGCATTACACCTGGAGTATCCCTTCTCCAGCATAAAATTATCGAATTTTCGATACCACTGTCGAGGAGCCTGTTTCAGTCCGTACAAGCTCTTCTTTAGGCGACATACCTGCTGATCATTTCCTCTATACCCCTCTAGCTGCACCATGTAAATTTCTTCCTTGAGATCCCCATGCAGAAAGGCCGTCTTCACATCTAACTGTTGCAACTCCAAGTTTTCCGCCGCTACCATGCTTAACACTAAACGAATAGTGGTTAACTTAACAATAGGTGTAAAAACATCGATAAATTCAATACCGTATCTCTGTTGGAATCCCTTTACTACAAGTCTGGCCTTGTACCGTTTTGTTCCAGCGGATTCCTCTTTGACCCGATAGACCCATCTGTTTTGAAGCGCCTTCTTTCCTTGTGGGAGATCACACAAATCCCATGTGTGGTTCTTCTTCAACGAGTTCATCTCGCCGTCCATCGCAAGCTCCCACTTGCTCTTGTGGGCATCTTTAACTGCCTCTGCATAACAGTCGGGTTCCCCAGAATCAGATAAAAGTAGGTAATAAAGAGAAGATGAGTACCTATCGGGGGTCCTTCTCATCCTCGGTTCTCGGCCCAGTGCCAGAGGCGTGCTGCTCTCAGCAATCGGTTCATCCGATTCTGGTTCTGCCTCTTCTTCTGTACGCTCGATCTCATCTATCTGAGCTCCCACTGAATCTGCTGGTCTCATGATTCCGATATTTGAAATATCGAGACCAACATAATCCTGCATGGTCTTGTCATCGTCCGGGTATTTCTTCTGGTCCTTGTACATTATGCCTTCATTGAACACCACATTATGACTGCGAATAA